TGGTCTCATGAGGCAGAGCGTTCCACCAGGCTGGGGCCAGAGTTGAAAAGGCCCTGGCTCTGGTTGAGGCTAATTTGACTTGCTTAGGGCCTGGGACCACTAGGGTGTTGTTATTTATGGACCTTGAGGCTCTCCGTGGGGCATACCAGGAGAGGCGGTCCCGTAGGTACGAGGGTCCTAGGCCGTCAAGGGCTTTAAAGGTCAAAACCAGCACCTTAAATCTGACCCTGTACTCCACCGGGAGCCAGTGCAGCTGGAAAAGCACTGGGTGAATATGCTCCCATGGCAAAGACCCCGTGAGGAGCCTCGCTGCAGCATTCTGCACCCGCTGGAGTTTCTGGGACAGCTTCAAGGGCAGCCCCGCGTAGAGCGAATTACAGTAGTCAAGCCTGGAGGTGACCGTCGCATGGATCACTGTGGCCAGGGCGGGGCGGGAAAGGTAAAGAACCAACTGCTTGATGCGGCGAAGGTGGAAAAATGTCATGTGCACACAGAAAATGGACATATCAGGGAAAGCAAGCAGATGCAAGACATCTCCAGAGTTTTTGCAGAGGATTTGCCCACATTCCATGAACCAGGTTCCCCCATCGCCAGGGACATTGAATGCCCCCCCCAAAAGCACTCCTATGCAGATAATCTGCAGAAGTCAACTGGCACCAGAGCATTTTCCACTGCCCCACCATCCAGGGCAAAGGGCACCTTTTCCCACCCGAGGGCAGCACGCCCTTTGGGGTGGCCTTCCGAGGGTGCAAAGAGGATGCGGGGAAGGTCGCCAAAGGGGGCAGAGCAAAAGATGCAAATTTCACCTTCGTAAAGCTAGGTAGAGGGACGCGGGCGGCGCTGTGGGTTAAACCACAGAGCCTAGGGCTTGCCGATCAGAAGGTCGGCGGTTCGAATCCCCGCGATGGGGTGAGCTCCCGTTGCTCGGTCCCTGCTCCTGCCCACCTAGCAGTTCGAAAGCACGTCAAAGTGCAAGTAGATAAATAGGTACCGCTCCGGTGGGAGGGTAAATGGCATTTCCGTGCGCTGCTCTGGTTCGCCAAAAGCGGCTTAGTCATGCTGGCCACATGACCCGGAAGCTGTACACCGGCTCCCTCGGCCAATAAAGCGAGATGAGCGCCGCAACCCCAGAGTCATCTGTGACTGGACCTAATGGTCAGGGGTCCCTTTACCTTAAAGCTAGGTAGTTTCTGCAGGTGCTCCCACACCCCTCTCCATCATCATCCCCCCACTTGCAAGCCGGAGGAACGGTCGGAGTTGAAGGGCAACTTTCTAGCAAAGGAAGAAACACTTGGGGTGCAAAGCAAGGCGCTGAGGAATGCTGCCTGGGGAGAGTTCAGAGAGGCGTGGAGGGCCACATCTGGCCCCTGATAGGTTCCTTATCCCTACCTTAGAAAGCGATATCATTTAGCATGCATATTTTACTGGCAGAAGCTAAAAAAAATTGCAACTCTCAAGTTGTTCTAACATTGCTTTTGCACTAGGCATCAACTTGTCGCTTGATTATTATTTGCTTAAAGGTAGAAGAGTTTGGATTTGATACCCCGCCTTTCACTCCCTTTAAGGAGTCTCAAAGCGGCTAACAATCTCCTTTCCCTTCCTCCCCCACAACAAGCACTCTGTGAGGTGAGTGGGGCTGAGAGACTTCAAAGAAGTGTGACCATTAGGTCCAGTCATGGACGACTCTGGGGTTGCGGCACTCATCTCGCTTTACTGGCCGAGGGAGCCGGCGTACAGCTTCCGGGTCGTGTGGCCAGCATGACTAAGCCGCTTCTGGCGAACCAGAGCAGCGCATGGAAATGCCGTTTACCTTCCCGCCAGAGCAGTACCTATTTATCTACTTGCACTTTGACGGGCTTTCGAACTGCTAGGTTGTCAGGAGCAGGGACCGAGCAACGGGAGCTCACCCCGTCGCGGGGATCCGAACCGCCGACCTTCTGATCGGCAAGTCCTAGGCTCTGTGGTTTAACCCACAGCGCCACCCGTGTCCCTATATTATTTGCTTACTCATTGCATTTATCACCCACCTGGTTCGCACCATGGAGCTCAAGGCGGAGTATGAAGTTCTACATCTCCACATTTAATCCTCACTAGAACCCTGGAGGAGACTCTTGAGAGTCTCATGGACTGCAAGAAGATCAAACTGATCCATTCTTAAGGAAATCAGCCCTGAGTGCTCACTGGAAGGACAGATCCTGAAGCTGAGGCTCCAAGACTTTGGCCACCTCATGAGAAGAGAAGACTCCCTGGAAAAGACCCTGATGTTGGGAAAGATGGAGGGCACAAGGAGAAGGGGACGACAGACGACCAGATGGTTGGACAGTGTTCTCGAAGCTGCCAGCATGAGTTTGACCAGACTGCGGGAGGCAGTGGAAGACAGGAGGGCCTAGCGTGCTCTGGTCCAGGGGGTCACAAAGAGTCGGACACAACTAAACAACTAAACAACAACAACAATGTTGTGTTACTAATATAGGACACATCATTGGCTAAGGCGCACTGTTAATAACCAACTTCTTAAATGGATTTTGTTTCCCCCCACACGGGTTAAAAGAGCACCGGCCAGTTATGTGAGAGACTTTTCTGTTTGGGGATATCTCCCGTCACTACAGTTTGACCCCTTGCGAAACAGGCTTCAGAGGGGAGAGTGAATTATGCGCCAAAGCCCAAATGACATCAGTGCCAGAAATTAGGCGGGCGCCAGGCGAGTTTTGCAACGGACGCGGTCCAACTGCACCCACATGGAGATCTCTGGATGCCAGGTTGGCAACAAACATCTCCATCTGGCTGGCCCCTCCGGCTTTCTTGAGCAGGTAAGCAGAAGGGCCTATTTATTGCATTTACATCCCAGCCTTTTCTCCAAGGGGTTCACACACACCCCTCAGTTAAACCCCATGACGACCCTGTGAGGTAGGCTAAGAGGCTGTGACTGACTCCAAGGTCACACAGCCAGCTTCCTGAGTGGGGATTTGAACCCCGATCTCCCAGGTCTTAGCCTGATACTCTAACCCAGTGTTCCCCAACCTTGGGCCTCCAGCTGTTTTTGGACTACAACTCCCATCATCCCTCGCTAGCAAGACCAGTGGTCAAGGATGATGGGAATTGTAGTCCAAAAACAGCTGGAGGCCCAAGGTTGGGGAACACTGCTCTAACCAATACACCACACTGGCTTCCTACAGCTCTTCTGCTACGGGGCAGCTATATAAATTAAGTAGGTAAATAAATACAGTGGTACCTCGGGTTACATACGCTTCAGGTTACACACTCCCACTAAGCCAGAAATAGTGCTTCAGGTTAAGAACTTTGCTTCAGGATAAGAACAGAAATCGTGCTCGGGCGACACGGCAGCAGCAGGAGGCCCCATTAGCTAAAGTGGTGCTTCAGGTTAAGAACAGTTTCAGGTTAAGAACGGACCTCCGGAAGAAATTAAGTACTTAACCCGAGGAGTGGTACCTCTGGTGGCGAACGGGATCCATTCCGGAGCCCCGTTCGCAACCTGAACAGAACGCAACCCGCGTCTGCGCGTGCACGGGTCGCAATTTGCCGCTTCTGCGCATGAGCAGAACGTCATTTTGAGCATCTGCGCATGCGCGAGCGGCGCAACCCGGAAGTAACCCTTTCCGGTACTTCCGGGTCGCCACAGGACGCAACCTGAAAACGCTCAACCTGGTATGACCGAGGTATGACTGTATGGGGGAAGAAAAATGTCACTTAGAGAAGGATCTGAAATATTTTCCTTGAAGCTTGAATTTGTTTTGTTCTAGGTTGTTTTATATGATGTTTTAATGTTTGGAAACCGCTTTGCGATAGATATAGATAGACAGACAGATAGATAGATAGATAGATAGATAGATAGATGATAGATAGATGATAGATAGATAGATAGATAGATAGATAGAGAAACAGATGAATGAAATGAACAACAACAACATCAAACCCCATTGGTGGGGGAGGGAATGGTTCCCAGACATTCTGTTGTGACTCCTGTAACCTAGGTTTAACGTGCCATTTGGCGATTAGTTTATGCACCTGAATTTCTAACACCGCTTGCAACAATTGCATCCAACATTCAGCACTGAATGAATGGAGTCATGTGAAATAACTACAGATAGGTAGACACACACACACACACACACTTCCAAGGTGGCCCCCAATCAACTTGCCGTCCCACCTGCCCAGAGTCCCCAAACTGGCAATCTGCCCAAGGCTGGCTTCTACTTCTGAAGCGCAAGGCTGCTGCCTCGCTTATAGCCGAAACAGCAGACCGAACCCCTTTTCTTAAGGCAAATGGAGGTTATGTTCGAAGTCTGCCTCTCCCCACTGCCCTCTTGCGAAGTCATCTAAATCCTGGGGAAGTCCACGTGGGGAAAGGCGGGGGGGGCAGCAGCGTTGGCCAGCCCGGGGCTCTCCAGGACCCCAGGGTGGCGAGTGCCGCCTTTGAGGGGTTCGCAAGAGGAAGCCCACCGGAGTCAACAAGTGCAAGGGGTGCCACCCATGCAGAACCCCCCCCCAGGGAGTCTTCACACCCACCCTCCACCTCCTGTGCTGACTCGGGCCATGAAGACAAACTTGGGTGCCGTGCCCCTTCCCCCCACGGCTTCTGGGGTCTAGTTCTGCCAGGGCCCCGATCCTTTTACTCAAATAAGGGAGGGGAGCAAGCGCTACAAAAGGAACAATGTCCTTCCAGGAAAAGGACCCGGCGCCTTTGAGATGGGTGGGAGCCCGGCATCGACCACGCCACCCACGCAAGGTGTCAACTCGCCCGGGCAAGCGCCCAGGGGATAGTTCAGCACCCCTTGCACCCCAGCGCCAAGGCTGCAACCCGCAACACAGCTCTTTGCAAAGAAGAGGGGGGGGGAGTCATGCATTTTAGGGGAAGGGGGGGCGGGGAGGCCTCCCCAGGCCAAGAGTCCCTTTCCGGGATCTCAGCTCAAGAATCCATCTGCACCCCAAGAGAGGGGGGGGGAAGGCAACAACCGCACACTATATCCCAGGGTTCTTACCTGTTACTCCCAAGCCTGGGGTGGGAGGAGTGGGTGTGATCTGGAGGAGGCTTCCGCTGAAACCTACATCCCTGCTTTGGGGCCTGGAAAAACCAGCATGAAATAAAACAAAACAGATCCACAGGTTGCAAAGGATGTTTTTCCTTCGGTTTTTTTTTCTTAACCCCCCCCCTTTTTTTTTTTTTGCAAACACTGCTTAGAAAAGGGGGGAGGATCAGTTTGTAAAAAAGAAAAGCAGGGAGAGATATTGGGATTTTGCAAGCAATCAAAGCTTACCCCCCCCCTTTTGCTCTGTGTGTGTGTGTGTGTTACTGCTCCCTTAAAGGGCCAGCAGGCCCATTCCACCGGCCCCTACATGCCCCCCTTGCAATACAATAGGGACCTTTAATCCATCAGATTGCAACTCTCCCTCCTGCCCCCCCCCTCCGCGCACCATCCGCGGGGCTCAGCCATTTGTTGACCGGCATATGCATGGCGCCCGGCAGCCAATCGGAGGGCCGCGTTTGGGGCATGCCCATATATGGATGACAGCAGAGTCTCAGCCTACCCAGGCTTGTTGTTTTGCGTGTGTGTGTTTTTTAAATCCCCACTCCCTGCAAGGGACCGTCTCGAAAGTGCAGAATGCGAAGCAGGAGGAAGAATAAGGAGGGGACTCTAAGGGAGCAGCGATCATTCCCAAGCCTGACCGAACCATCGGAAAGAATGCAAACCCAGGATAAATAAATAAGTTCTGGGGCCCAAAGCTCTCAGGATGTCAGGGAGGGGAATTGTCGCTGGTGGGAAACTCTGTATATACTCAGGGGGCTAAATATGCTAAACCCCACATTTAAAAGAAAATAATAATAATAATAATAATAATAATAATAATAATAATAATATTATTATTATTAATTTATATCCTGCCCTCCCCAGCCAAAGCTGGGTTCAGAGTGGCTAACAACAATAAAAGTAAGACAGCATTCTAAAATAATTTTAAAATCAATTCAAAATCAAATTAATGGCAACCATTGGGCTTGTGGTGTTGTTTTTTCAACAGCAGGGAGAACCAGTGGCGTAGCGTGGGTTGTCAGCACCCGGGGCAAGGCAAGTAATTTGCACCCCCTAACCCATGGATTTGCGCCCCCCTAACCCGTGGATTTGCGCACCCTAACCCTAACCCCCAGATGTTGAGCCCGGTGCGGCTGGACCCCCCTGCACCCCCCACGCTACGCCACTGGGGAGAACACTCCTCCCACCCCAGGCTCCCACCTGGGAGTAACAGGTAAGAACCCTGGGAGATGGTGTGCGGTTGTTGCCTCCCCCCCCCCTTCTTGGGGTGCAGATGGATTCTTGAGCTGAGATCCCGGAAAGGGACTCTTGGCCTGGCGAGGCCTCCCCGCTCCCCTTTCCCCCAAAATGCATGACTTCCCCCCCTCTCTTCTTTGCAAAGAGCTGTGTTGCTGGGGTTCAAGGGGTGCAGAACTATCCCCTGGGCGCTTGCCCGGGCGAGTTGACACCTTGCGTGGGTGGTGTTGTCTGTGCCGGGCTCCCACCCATCCCAGAGGCATCGGGTCCTTTTCCTGGAAGGACATTGTTCCCTTTGTAGACTCCGCAAGCGCTTGCTCCCCTCCCTTATTTTAGTAAAAGGATCGGGGCCCTGGCAGAGCTAGATCTCAGAAGAACTTCTGGCATGCAGAGGCGGAGCTGGCGGGGAACCCTCTGCTGAAACAGCCGCTTGTAAGTCTCGATAGTTCAACACATCGTTGACCTATGGAACTCACACACACAGAAGGCGGAGATGGTCACCAACCAAATAATAATAATAATAATAATAATAATTTATTTATATCCCGCCCTCCCCAGCTGAAGCCGGGCTCAGAGTGGCTAACAACAATAAAAGTAACACAGTTTACATAAAATCATAATCATTTAATTGAAATACATTCTAAAATCAATTCATTCTAAAATCAAGAGTCAAATTAATGGCAACCATGGGGCTAGAGTTCTGTGAGGATTGCCGAAGGAGGGGGTCAGACTGCACCTTGGCCAAAGGCCAGGCGGAACAACTCTGTCTTGCGCGGAACAACCAGGCCCTGTCCTGTGACAGAGCCCCCCATCGCGGGAAAAGCCCTGGCTCTGGTGAGGCCAGCCTAACCTCCCTGTGGTACTGAGGGTGTTCTCCTCCTTGCCATTGTAACTGAAAAAATGTTCTCATGTTTTCTTTTGAATGCCAGGTTTGGCAAGGGGCTGTGAAACAACAGCAGGAAGAGTGCCCCTGAGAACATACAGAGTTTCTCAGCGGTGACAAAACAAAGCCTCCCTGGCGTCCTGAGACCTTTCACAGAAAGCCTGAGCCCCTCAACTTGTTTATTTATTGTAAGCAATGACAAACCTAGATGGCACATTAAAAAGCAGAGACATCACCTTGCCAACAAAGGTCCGTATACTTAAAGCTATGGTTTTCCCAGTAGTGATGTATGGAAGTGAGAGCTGGACCATAAAGAAGGCTGATCGCCGAAGAATTGATGCTTTTGAATTATGGTGCTGGAGGAGACTCTTGAGAGTCCCATGGACTGCAAGAAGAGCAAACCTCTTCATTCTGAAGGAAATCAGCCCTGAGTGCTCATTGGAAGGACAGATCCTGAAGCTGAGGCTCCAAGACTTTGGCCACCTCATGAGAAGAGAAGACTCCCTGGAAAAGACCCTGATGTTGGGAAAGATGGAGGGCACAAAGAGAAGGGGATGATAGAGGACGAGATGGTGGGACAGTGTTCTCAAAGCTACCAGCATGAGTTTCACCAAACTGCAGGAGGCAGTGGAAGACAGGAGGGCCTGGCGTGCTCTGGTCCAGGGAGTCACAAAGAGTCGGACACGACTAAACGACTAAACAGCAACAATATTTGGTTGGAAGCCGCCCAGAGTGGCTGGGGAACCCCAGCCAGATGGGCGGGGTATAAATAATAAATTATTGTTATTATTAAGCAAGAGGAGGCACTGAACTTTGGTGTCACAGAAATTTAGGACCCTGAGGTCTGCCACTGACTTTGGACACAGTGGACAGGCAGCTATGTGACCATTATTCCAGCTCTAATAAAGAGGGGGTTGTCTCTCTCTCACACATCCATCGCTGGGTTATTTACTTATTGCATTTAAATCCCAAATTCTACCCAAGGAGCTCCCCCCCCCTCCTCGTTTAATCCCCACAACCCTGTGAGACAGGCTAGGCTGAGAGATACAGTGACAAAGTCTCTCTCAGTGAACTTCACACCCAAGCGGGGGATTTGAACCCTGGCTAACTAGGCCACAGTCCGATACTCTAACCACTGTGCCACACTGTCGCTCAGAGGTACTACAATACCAGGTCCATGCACGGCGTGGACAGAGCAAGCCCCTATTGCATCTCCCAGCTCCCCAAACCAACGCAATAAATACGGTCCTGTTTTGGATACTGGATATTAAACTGAAAAGAACAGAGTCTGCCAGCTTCTTGGAGGAAGAAGAGCACAAGTTTCTAGCTCTCATGCCCATTTGAAAACACACAACCCTCCACAAGGTTAAGGCAACCATTAAAGAAATATCCCAGTGCCTGAACTTTTTTGGTGTTTTAGCTTTCAAGATTCTAGTGGCTGTATTACGTACGAGATCCAAGGTTTGGTGGCTGTTTTGGATTCAGAAAAACAATACCTTGTAGTGTTTCAGATTGCAAGCGATTACGACTCCACACAAAAATCCTTTATTTCTGGACACTTCCTTTGGTTCCAGATGCTGAATTTCTAACAGTTCAATGGACCCCCTGCCCTAGGTAATCACCCCAAAAGCACAAATCCTTTTTTGCATAAAAGTGGGGGGTGGGATTTTATTTTTCTTATTACATTTACCGTATTTTTCGCCCTATAAGACGCACTTTCCCCCCTCCAAAAATGGAGGGGAAATGTGTGTGCGTCCTATGGGGAAAATGCAGGCTTTTGCTGAAGCTTGGAGAGCGAGAGGGGTCGGTGCACACCGAACCTTCGCTCTCTCCAGGCTTCAGGAAGCTATCCATAAGCCTGGGGAGCCCGTGGGAGTTCCCGCAGGGCTCCCTAGGCTGCGGATAGCAGCCTGCTTGCCGGAGCGCGGGGCGCCCTGAAGCAGAGCACCCTGCGCTTCCGGAAGCTATCTGCAGCCTAGGGAGCCCTGCGGGAGTTACCGCGGCTGGGGGGGGAAATAATTTTTTTTCTTTATTCCCCCCCCCCCAAAAAAACTAGGTGCGTCCTATGGGCCGGTGCGTCGTATAGGGCGAAAAATATATATTGCTCCTTTTCTCCATGGACACAAAAGATGGCATACAGGATTCTCCGCTTATTCCTGCGAATGTAATTTGCTTTAACTGTTTTTAATACTGCATTTCCGGCCCTGGGACCTGCTGGTGAAGGGCAGGTGATAAATTTTGCTATTACTGTTGCTCATATTATTTAACCTCACAACAATCCTGTGAGGTACGCTTAGGCTGAGAGGCAGTGACTGGCCCAAGTCACCCAGTGGCTGAGTGAGGATTTGAATTCTGGTCCCCAAGATCCTAGTCAGATGATGACTGACGTGTTTGTAGCTGAGATACAAAGCTAACTACAACAGATGCTCTTAAAATGCCCTCAACTATTTCTTGGTGAGGGGTATTCAATTCAACAATAACAGTACTGAACTGGGGCCACCTACCTCCCTGAACTGGGACGCAGGTGGCACTGTGGTCTAAACCACAGAGCCTAGGGCTTGCCGATCAGAAGGTCGGCGGTTCGAATCCCTGTGAAGGGGTGAGCTCCCGTTGCTCAGTCCCTGTTCCTGCCAGCCTAGCAGTTCAAAAGCACGTCAAAGTGCAAGTAGATAAACAGGTACCACTCCGGTGGGAAGGTAAATGGCGTTTCCGTGCTCTGCTCTGGTTTCGCCAGAAGCAGCTTAGTCATTCTGGCCACAAGACCCGGAAAAACTGTCTGCAGACAAACGTCGGCTCCTTCGGCCAATAAAGCGAGATGAGCGCCACAACCCCAGAGTCATTCACAACTGGACTTAACTGTCAAGGGTCCCTTTACCTTTACCTTCCTGAAAGCTTTGCTACCGCCTCCTATTGAACCCTTCTCATTTTGCTCACTGAAATGCGATTTGGCGCCTCTGCTCCAATTCACAATATGGTTGCCAAAGTATAACATCTCACTAACTTGGTATTTTTCTGTCTATATGAAGATTTTGCAAGAGCTACTTCAATATGGTTTCCCGATGTGTCTCATCTTTTTAGCCAACATGCTTTTGCCCCCACCAAATCCCTGTGGCAGTGAGTTCCAAAGATCAATGACATATTGGGAGAGCATTTTTTGGTTGTTGTTCCTTTCTTAGAACTGTGTCAGTTTCGGTTCCTTTCTTAGAACTGTTTCGGTTTCAGTTGGAGAAG